GGTTGTTAGATCAGGAGAAATCGAAACTAGGAGGACTCAGTGTGCACAGTGGTTTGAGTTGTTTACCAACCTGGGGGTTTACGTCGAAGACTGTTGTAGCTAGTTTTCGACAGAGTTCATAGTGATCGAGATCCGAGTCGGAAATTTGAATCAGAAGAGACTTCAGGACACCTAGGGCATTTTGGCAAACGTTTGCTTGTTTGCTGGCTGCTTCATCCACGAGGCAGTCGATTACAAATCGGCCCGGCAGCACGTTGAGCAACAAAAGACACGTATCAACAATGCTCTGATAGATGACATTCTTTTGATCGCCCAGTAGCTTGAGTGTCGTGGAGACAAGGGTTTCTCGATTTTGCTTCAGAACGGCCTTGGGGAGGTTTTCAACTAGCATCTGCAAGTTTCAAAAGACTTAATGTACGTTCAGGGATTTTACAATAAAAAGTTAAAAGGAAGACCTTAGTGCAAGTTATTTACTGTGACAGATATGAAAAGGTTGCGGTTCGAGTGCGCTTTTTACAATAAACGTATCATTTCAAGACATTAAGCCATGTCTGAAAACGGCAACGTTTCTTCTTTATAATCCAGGTTTTACTTTCTATCTTCGAGATTAGTTACCTGAATATTGCGAAATTCGTTTTTTAATACTTATATTTAAAAGCAGTAAGACAACTTCTACAGATAGAGTAATCCCTAATTATGGTGGATTTACAATGAGTCACATATTTTTAGTCCGGAATCGATACGTGCCATTTTGATGGGAAGTAAGCAATACGAGGCTACTTATCTTCACCATTTGCAGGATTTGAAGCAGAAAACAGCGTTCTTTCAACACGCTGGAACACAAAACAGTTCAAAACCAAGAAAAAATACCCGCTGAGTCCTGTAAGACATTATCTGATGCAAGTGCCACGCGTCAGATCAACTTCTATAAGTAAATTCTACCGTAGCACCCTTATCGCTGTGAGTAATTAATCGTTTGGTGACACTATGAGGAAGCCAACAAGAAAGTCATGTGTGATGTATTTTTTCTTTTTTCATACTTTGACTACAAGCATCTGCAATAAAAATTTCACGGAAACTAAAACATATTTGTCGTATGCGCTTCTATTAGAACTTGTGCATCTGCCTTATACGTGTGTCGTTAGCAGTGAATTTTTAATCTTCGAAAAAATAAAAAAGCAATGGTCGAAATTTGAACACTCATATCAAAACTGGGAGCAATTCTGAAGCAATTTATAATTCGTAAGCGCTTCTCTATAACAAAAAAGAAAAGAATTTTCCTATGAGGTGTCGTTATAGATAGCTGCAGTTATCTTGTATATATTTATGCAATAGGTTTGCACAAATTGTGTAAAAGCCTTCAGTAAAATAGGAAAAACTTAGACAAAGCAAACCAGGACTAACAGCTAGAAAACGTACTTGTATAATGTTAAGTGTTGTGATAACGACGTGGACGTTGGAGTCCTCAAGTAACTGTTGTAAAAACAGGAGGAAATAATTGATGTTTTCACTAAGTTGCTTGACTATATGCCGATTTCTTATGCTTTGGACCTTCGTAAATCCCTGTACATAGTCGTAGGTCAGACAATATAAGTTGGAAATGGCATTTAATCTGGTCTTCACATCGCCGACTTCGTTCAGGCAGAAGACGACATCAAGGGGAACGAATTCAAAAACAAGAGCTGCCGCTTGCATCCTCAAAGTTAGGCTTAGTGGACGGAGAACAATTCAGAGGTCCCCTTTTTGTTCATTGCATTGCATTTTCATTGAGAAGCCTCTATCTAAATCTGAAAAATCGTATTTCTATTAGTATTTCATTAATTGCATAAGTAAATGTTTTACTTTATATTTCAATATGCACCAAACGCAAAACAATATATTTCATCAAGACTAACATACATAAATAATAGTCTCAACGGAATATATAACACAGGATTAACTAGCCTAAGCTATTTGACATTCTCTAATGTTACAGTAAAATTAGATTAAGCTGAACAGCAGTAGGCAAATCAAGCCTCTGTGATTTTTCCTTTAACAATTTTTGTCTCATACCTTCATGTTTTGTTGGAAATTGGAAATACGCCAAAACAAAATGCACTAATTTCAGTCTTTAACCTGCAGCGTACTGACATTAGGATGTTACAGTGACCCTCTAGTGCGCTATATCTTTACGCCGATTGTATGTGCAGCCAAATACTTTTGCTGCATATTCATTGAATACGTGGCCGAGTTTGCACTTTGAATTTTAAAGTTGTTTGAGGGATATTCATCTATCTCCTACTCTCAGACTGTTGCGTAGACATTATATGCCTGTATGGATCTCTACCAAATATGAACAATTTTAC